TTTTTTTTAAAGTTAAATTACATTATACTGCTTTGGGTAGGCCTCTGCTATTTTATTGCTGCTTTACCTTTTTAGGGGAAAAAATGGATTTTTGATGCATAAAGCATCCAGACCTTAGAAGACTTTGTTTACATCACTGCAATTTGACTAATGATAGAGATATTTTAAACACTCACTTGACATTGTCCATACAGTTTGGAATCAGATATCATGCAACCATTGCTAAGTGATCCATTGTTATTGTGATGAAAACCGCTATTTCCCAATGAGATGCGAGGTATACTGGCGCTTGAGTTGAGCAGTGGCTGTAGTGGTAACTCATTCACTGGAGTTGGAGATGGAAGAGGTTGCGAGCAGCAGGCTGCTATAGCGTTTGGTGCCACAGTCTGTTGGGAGAGAGTCTGCTGTAGTTCGACGATTTTTTGTGTGAGCATATCTATCTGCGAGATGAAATGATCTTGCGCTCGATGCATCTCCCACAAGGTTTCGTGCATATCAGAATGAAGCTAAAGAATTTAGTGCAACTATAGCCTAGGCATAATTAAGCGAGCAGTTACCTTTCCAACATCAAGCAATGAATTTCCTTTTTCTTGAAGTTTGCGCTGATCCCATTTTATTCGTCGAAACTCGTTGATTGAATGTAGGAAACGTCGTTGATGGTGACGTAAACGTAGTTCATCGCCCTTGTGCAGCGCCTTCTTGTACTTATGAATAAACCTGAAACAAATATTTCAAATTTGTAATATTAGCTCTGAGTTAGTCTATGCTTACCATGTCTCCTGCAGTACAGAGGCTGCGGCATTTTTCCGCTGATTTGTCAACTTTGAATCCGCCATAAAGTTATTCACATGCTTTTCTGCTCTGCTCAGCTCTAGCTTTCTTGAAATCACAGCAATAAGCGCTGATGACACTCCAGCGCCCTATAAAAGCTAGTTTTTAGAAAAGTTTAGGAGATACCTAACATTTATTCATAGTAATGAATTTATATAGCCATCCTTGTGGAGAAAATAAATACTTTACCGCCAAAATCGGATTTCTAAAAAACACAAGGAGTTTTACACCGATTTTATGTAACTTTAAATTTGCAAAATAATTTTCGGCTGAATTT